ACTTCCTTTCATTTCCTCTTCTGCTCTCCTTGTGTCCTGGAGGTTGGGGGAACCTGCTTCTCCCTTAACTTCCAGAATGAGTGTAGGAGATTGGTCACATCTCTAATGAGAAGCTGTAATGAAGTACAGATTACCACCAAAAAGTGTGAGCTTTGCTCATGCCTGGGAGCAGTGACATATCTTCAGATTGTGGGGGCTTCTGCGATGCACTTGGTTTGTATTCAGATGCGTATGTTCTGTAATGTATAAATGGGATCCTTCTCCAGCTGCTGTCAGACAGCTGTAGCTTCATCTACAGACACTTTCATGATTTGGAGGAAACTGCTCTATCTTCTGCGTTATGGACAGCCCTCCTGTGATGCTAATTTCTCTTCTGGGTTACTATGGAGACAGGAACAATTGTAATTGCTTGAAGGATTAGCAGTGGTATGACTTTGCAAGTAAGAAGTTCAGAAAACGCAGAAGAAACTCACGTTCCTGTGTAGAGAGCCAAAATCTGCATACAAGGCTGTCACAGCAGTAGCTAAGTGGTTAAGAACAATCTTCTGTTTGAAAGATTTAATTAAAAAAAGAAAAACCATGCCCAGCTGAAAAAACGTGGCAAGGAATGTGACCACGCCTGTGACTAGGGAGGGGAGGGGGGGAGCAGGACTACTTGTTTTTCTATCAGTTCTACCTGTTTCTTTCTGTACAAGTGGTGCTTTATGAGTCTTTGAAAGAATCCTTATCAAATACATTTTCCAAGACTTTGGTTGGTTGAATGCTTTCTAATTTTATGGAATGGTGACTCAGAAGAATGGAAGTGTTTCTGTAGAATTATCTTTTTCAGTTTTTTTTCCCATCCTATTGGAAGGAAAGTATGGTATAAATGTTTATTTTTTGTGTGAAGGTCTATCTGTATGTGCATATAAAAACACATGAAAAATTTAATTATTTCACACCTTTTCATGTGATGTTTAAAATATTAATGACTGCTGACACTGAATTGTGAGATTAAAATTAGTACCCTGTTTACTATCTCATCACAGTAGTATAAATTCAGACCAGTCTTTTAATCCTAGAAGCAGACCAATCTGTAATGTTGTGCTAGCCAGGTGACTTAGTAATTAGTTTCTTGGTGAAGTTGCTGAATTGATTGGTAGAGATAGATTGTACTAGTAAGTAAGCATGAACAAAGTTTCCAGCTGTTTTGATCAGTATAGACTGAGCACAGCTTTTGAAATACATCACTCTGATTTCTTTTCCTCATTTACACAGTGTCATGACTGAAAGCTGCTTGCAGGACTGAGGAGTCCTGAGAATGATGCTGATAGCTTTTTAGGCACTGCAGACTTGCTTCTGTAATAGTAAAGGGTCTCTGGGCATTCCTAGGTTTTGCTTGCAAAAGATCTGAAGCTGATGACCAAATCCTGCCTCAGTGTCTTTGTGAAAGTGTGGGAGATACACAGAGGTGCTCACATTAGGCTTTCCATTCAGGGATGACTGTCACTATTTGTAGTCTGTGCTACTCTTTCATGATGTTTTTTCCAACTTTTCTTCCTAGAGCTTTCAGCCTTCAAGAGTCTTTTATAACTAATTAGCTTTATTGTTTATATTACTCTCTTACTCTAATTAGAGTAATCAAATCATGGGGATCTTGAAGCTCTCCTCCTTTTCCTCTAACTGTTTTTGCTTTGTGTAGCCTGGCTATTTCCTGCTGCTTATTCTTGCCCATGCGTTTTTACTTTCTGCAAATTGATGTTGTCCTGTACTAATGGTTTTCTCTTTTTCTGAAGAACCTTGGCCATTCTTGTCAGCCTGTGAAGACCTATAGTCCCATTTGAGAATGAATTGCAAGGGACACACTAGCCAGTGGGAATAATAGATATGCAGAAGAAAGAAAGTGATATTTTTAACTATGTTTATGAATTTTTGGGATTGTGTATTAGGAAGAATTTATTTTCAGAAAGAGTGGTGATGCATTGGAACAGGCTGTCCAGGGAGATGGCATCACCGTCCCTGGAGATGTTTAAGGAAAGGGTAGATGTAGTATTAAGGATATGGTTTAGTGGGCAATATTGATGATGCGTGGACAGTTGGCCTAGATAATCTTGGAGGTCTTTTCCAACCTTAATGATTCTAAGATTCACTTCAGATTAAATTGTTTCAACTATCTTCCACCAAGCCTTGGTTGTCTCCTGGTTGCCACGGTTGTAGTTGTTTTGCCCTTCAGCACTGTTTGTCTGGTGGTCGCTCATTCATGGTAGCAATGAATACTTTCCATGCACTCTCAGGCAAGGAGCAGAATATATCAGCTCTTGTGTCTTGAAACTGAAAGTTTCAAGTTCACTCAAGTTTGTCTGAACAAACTGCCAATTCTGAATTTACCAGAGTCTCATAGCTACTTCAGCCATTCTGCTATCAGCGCTTTATCTCAGTAGTGGAAACCTACTGGGTTAAAAGCAGTTTCAGAATTTTTTTTTCCAAACTCATATGTGACTACCAAGCAACTGTGTACACAGAGACAGCATGATCTGCTGTTTTACCTTCTGCTTTCCTTTTCACCCATGTGAGAATTTGTGTGTGAGGAGCCTCTACTCTGCACCCCTAACATACCTCAACACTGAAGTGGATATAGTGGGTTTGTGGTGGCAGAACACTGTCCTTTGCCCTCACTGTTTCTTGAGGATAAAGATTGTCTTGTGTATGTGTATGTGTAAGTTTATGCATATATACATAGATAACACAAGGCAGTGTTGGTATCACCTTCCAACAATGAAGCAGAAAATGGAAACATTTATGGAAAGTTTTCTGGTTACTGCTCTTGGATTTTGCACACACATTCTAGGAGGAAAGGAAGAAAAACAAGCTTGTAATGCTTAATGACGTGAATAATGCAAGGTTAGATTAGAGCAGTATATAATTTATACTTTTTGGAACCATTGTTATTCTGTATGTGTGTGTGTTAGCAGCAGAATCAGTCACTCAGTCTTTGCATCAGTTAAATTTCCGAATGTGCAAGTTCAAGGACCATCATCAGAATTTTTATTAACTGTGCCACCTTTGAGTGCAGATTTCAAAGGTAGCGGATTGCCAGGATTAAACAGAAACATACAGGCAGTACTCAGTGAACACATGCTTGAAGTCATAATAGTATTTTTACTATCTTTATGGATTTCATTCTGTGAAAGCTCTAAGTAATCTTTCACATCTAAGGCTATGATAAGACTAGAATAGCACTTGCTTTAAAGTATCAGTTTGTCCACTTAGGCATTTTGTGTGAATTATGCTCTCCTACTTATAAAAGGAAGCACTTCAATAACTTTGGAGCATGCAATCGTCTCTTCACAGATGAACTGTCAGTGCAATGTAGCACCTGAATTCTAATCTGCTTTGCATTTCACCTGAGGCATTGGATAGTTCATTCTCTTTCTAACACTGTGTTCTCTTTCATTGGGACTGCAAATACAATACCTAAAGCAGAGCTTGTATGAGGGCTGTGGCCACTCCTGGCTGAAATAATCACATGCATCTTCTCCACACCTAGCATGACTTCTGAACTGGTAGCACAATTAAACAAGCAAGATGATTCATTAATGGGAGGTTGATAGGATCACAGAATGGCTGAACCTGGCAGGGCCCTCTGTATCTATCTGGCCAGTCTCTGTTCCAGCAGGGCCACCCGGAGCAGGGTGCCCAGTGCCATGTCCAGGCGGCTGCTGGAGATCCCCAAGGAGGAGACCCCACAGCCTCTGGGCAGCCTGTGCCACTGCTCTGTAACCCACACAGCACAGGATGCTTCTGGTATTCAGAGGCATCCTCCTGTGTCCCAGTGTTTGCCCAGTGCCTCTTGTACTGGCCCTGGGTGCCACATAGAAGTGCTTGCCTCTTTGTACCTTTCTTCAGGTATTTATAGACATTGATGAGATCTCTCCTGAGATTCCTCTCCTCCAGCTGAACAGCCCCAACTCTCTTAGCCATTTCTCATAAGAGAGATACTTCAGTTCCCCGATAATTTCTGTGGCCCTATTCTGGACTGATCACAGTCCAGCAATAGCAAAAGTCATTTTGTGTTTCCTTGCAGCTCTTGTGACCATTGCATCTAGGCCTCTCCAGAAGTAATGAGATCTGTATATTCGCTGCATGTCTAGAAAATTTCTTTGGGACTTTCTGGTGGTGAGGGCCTGCAATTACGAATTGGATGAATTTATGTTCATCTAAATAATGTTTATTTTAATAGGAAATGCCCCTGGAAAAGCCAGGTCTTGGAAACTGCTCTAAATGTCTCAATTATTTCATCTCTCTCAGAAGCCTGCCCCAAAGTTAAACCCCCTTTGTCATTCTTGGTTCTCTTCAACTGTTTCTTAAGCTTTTGGATTTATATATTAGCAAAAGACTTATTAAATATGTTAAACTGCAATATGGCCAGATATAGATTAATCTCCATATCTTACTTAATTATCTGCAGCACCAGGATAAAGACTGGACAGAGTCTTTTGGAAACAATTGTGCACCAGATAAAGCTTTCTTCCCTAATGTAGGGGGTGACATGGTTGCTGGAGAGATCGTATGTTTCTCTGGTTCGTGTTCCAAATGGCAGAAATTATCCTTTATTTTATGTTTTTATGTAGTATGCATGCACAAAGTTATATAGAATCATAGAATGGATTGGGTTGGAATATATTTTAGTTTTAATCTTCCATTATGAAGTTAGGTTTATAAAATGTAAACATCTAAATGTGAATTATTTATCTATTGCTCATCTGGCATTTGGAGAGAATTTCAATGACTGTTTTTGACATCACTTCTAGGATGAGGTAAATTTCACTCGTGCAGTCAACTGTGACTACAAGGGAGTAGCTACTATGACTAGTTCAAACTTTGTGAAAACCTCAAGCTAAGAGAAAACCATTCCTACATAACATTGAACTAGTTAGATGTGTGTGTAGCAAATTATTCTGTAGAACCATAGTGAATCATTGTACTACAGACTTACAGTTCTTTTTTTCCCCTCTCCAAAGATACCACTTCAATTTTTCCAAATTGTTCAGCTCAAGGTCAAGAACCACTTGCTTTACAGAGAAGACACCACTGCTGAAGGTTTCCTCAGAGGAAAATGGGTGAGTTACTTTCATTTTACTCAAAATACATTTTTCCTAAGCTCTCTTCTATTTAATTGTGCATGGTTCTTTCTTATATTCTGACATCAAACCTAATGGGAAATAAAGTGGATGTCAGAAGTTGTGAGCAGAGAATTACTCTGAAGTAGTTTGAGTGGAAAGAAGGGGCTATAAATGAGATAGGGAATGATGTAAGGTCGCAGGTCAGGTTGATTAGAGATACCTTGGGATAAGCAACTGCAGGTTGCTCTCATTTTCTTCATATTGTGTTGCATCAGGTGCATTTCAAGACACAGTAGAGCTATAAGATGGATTCTTATTCTTGTGGATTACACATCAAATTCAGAGGCATGTATGTCTGGTGCTTCAAAATGCTCGTTCTTTCAGGTGCACCTAAACATCATAAAGCTTTTGCTTCTCTGTCTATCTAGTTGTGCCATCAAGAGGAGCTCAGTCTCTACTGAATAAATATCTTTATATGATTTTTTTCCATTAAAATCTATTACAGAGAAGCTAAGCATATGTAAGATCAGTTGCATTCTCATATCTGTTGAAATAAACTACTGTTTTATTTTCTCTTTACTGAAAATATGTGACAGGTTGCCATGCATGGGTCTTCATAACCCAGATTTTACCACAGATGATGATTCATGGGACAACAGCTCTGCCGAATTTGAACAGAGATTTCATCTGGGAAGTGAAATGACCAGTTTGTCTAGATCTGCTTCTTCTGAGAAATATGAAATCTTGGATAACCTTCATGTCAAGTTCAATTTATCAAAGATGAGGTCTGAATTCAAACATTATTTTATTTACTTTTTAAAGTTTCAGCAGTTTCAAAGTATAGATGGCTAGAAAATGATATATTTTCTGCAAATGAATAATATAACGCTCCATATTTAGGATATATTTTATCATTGATAGCTTATAAATAAATCCTGATGAAACTGATTACAGCCTCTATCCAATGATCAATAGCTCTTTGCTCTTAGAAGCATTAATCAAGATATCTATTTTAAATCTGAATTTAAATAGTGTTTCTATTGCTTTCAATATTTTGAAAGTCTCTTGGCTTTTTCACAGTTTTGTTTTTCACTTTTCAGTTTTTTTGAAGAAATATTTATCTTTAATTGAAATGTATATCTCTCTCTTTATAGAAAGATAGATGAACAGTCTTCTACTTACCTAACAGTGTTTCTGGAATCATCATAGTAGCTTTTCATGAATATGCAATGCAAAATATAACCAAGAACTTTTTTGTCTTTAAGTACATTAATATATTTCACTCTTTATCTCAAAGTAGTCTTTTACCTCATTTAGGCAGGGATGAAGTTGAAATATTTTAATGTACTGAAAAATATCAATATAATAAGAGCTTAAATTCAAATGTTCTCAGGATATTTTCACCTGAATAATAGCTAGCAAAGCCTTTAGTCTCAGGTACAAACTCTCTCTGCCACTTCTAGATTTTCAACATTTCTTCTTGTTCTGGTTTGAATTGCTAATAACTCTGCAGTTTGCATGGAGCCCAAGCACTTCATGCCCCTGTCTGCATGTTGATCCATGGAGCCTTTTCTGACAAGAAGTCTATGACTCTTTTTGCAGTCTGTATGTTGTCTTAGCTCATCATTTCACAATTGTCTTCCTTCTTTCATTGTGCATATGGTATTGTGTGGAGTGCCACGCTCCTGTACGCTGCTGAACAAATGGAGCAGGAGAATTTCAATGGCTGCAATTAGTGCAATATGAGCAGATGTGAAGAAATTTGGCAGACGTCTTTCTTCATGCTCTCTGTAGCTTTCCTTGTATTTGATGGAACAAAAGCATTGAGCAGGAGAGTAGAATCAATTGTTTCCAGTATAGTATACGTTTATGGGGGTAGTGTATTTCTCTGGCAGAACTTTCTGTGAGATGTTTTCATTGCTATAGTGCTGGTTGTACATCTGGGGCCAGCTCCTTAGATGTTGCAAATCAGCATAACTCCACAGAGATAATAAATGGAGCTAAACTGCCTGATGTGCAGATCAGACTAAAATTCATTTGGTTTAAAACAAAGAGTGAAGTCCTTCATAGATTTATATTTCATGCATTTTCAACTAAAGTCAGGTAGGACTGTGCTGGAGGCATATATCAGTAGAGAGTTTGGCACAGAGTTTGTACTTGCATCGCTGTGCCAGATTAGTGCAGCAGAAAGAGACAGATTGGAAAACACAGACGAGTCAAAGACTCATCACTTCTCAAATATAAGATGTTAAAAGTGCTGCTTCCTTAATACAAAATGCCATGAAAACAAACAGAAGGGAGGAAAAGAGGCTTCTAAATTCTATGTTTAATAAAATAACCACTTCCAAAAGCTGTTTTTTATCACATCTTGTCAACTCCTTGAGATGAGTTTCTGTTATTCACAGACAAATGGTTATGAATTTATAAGTTTTAATTAATGCTTCTTGTTTTCTCCTTTATGTTAAAAATGAGTTATTGCTGTTTCTTTTTTCAATAGCAATTTGAATTATTATTATTTGAAATGATAATTTGGAAGTGCAAACAGAAAATGTTGAACACATTAAAACTAAACCAATGTGGACTGGGCTTTAGTAATTCATAACATAACAAGCCCTCAAAAATACTGAAACAACTGTGATGTGAAGATAGGGAGAGTAGATAGACAGGATAGATGATGCATGACTAAGATGGCAATGTTTTCCATAAATCATACAGTAATGAAAGAAGTTATCAGCTGTGGGGTGCTGATAATGGCTTTTGTTGTCATTCTTCTTTTTTAAAACTTTATTATCCTCTCTCCCACCTCAACTTGATTTCCAGTAGAGAAGGACTAACTGGTGCTTCTGGAAGCTACCTCGCTGACTCTTTATCATCCCCAACCTTCCATAGATGTTTATCCCAGTGCAAAGTTTGCATATAATTGCTACCACTTGCATCTCCTAGGGTGTTGTAGCCCCTCTGTTGCAGTTTGACTGTGGCATGGTCTTTTCATCAGATACTATATCTTTTTCTGCTTTTTTTTTTTTTTTTTTGGAGAAGTCTAGTGAGGAAGGGATGTTTTTTCTCAGTGAACTTGATTTAGGGACTTACTTCCACTGTGACTAAAAGTTATTTCTGACTGTCTTCAGATTACTTCACTTTAATATTTTGTTCTAAAGCATCTGTCAATTGAGTTATTTATTGCACTGCTTCTTTCTCAACTAATTATCCCAGTAACGTGAAATATTTTTCTTCTTGCTTGTCATCAGGCTTAAATCAAACCTTGCATTTGTCATTCTCTCAGAAAAGCAATGTTTGAATGTTTACTTTTGGAAAAAATGGGGTAAGAACATCAATGTCTTCAATTAGTGAAGAGGTGAGATAAGGGCAAATAAGCAAAAACAGTTCTGTAAATTAAGACATCTGTGCAACATTTTGATGGGCAACAAGAAAATAATTAAAGAATTGCCTTTTATGGTAAGATTTAAAAAAACCAATGTGGTGATTAAAAAATGATAAATCTTAAGATTTCTTACTAGAAAACATAAAATTTCAATATTTCAGTTTAGAATTGTTCTTGTTTAGGCCACTCAATAATAAGCTCTGACATTTTGGAAGATTAGATGGCGTTGTATCTCCAGAACTGGCCATTTCCTGGCACATGTGTACTATGGAAAAAAAAATCTAGATTTGCTAGAACATTCTAGAGTTGCTCACACAGTATACTTGATTTGAAGAGACAATATTTAAGACCAGGATATCCTTAAAGACTGTTCTTGTCTTCAAAGTGAATGTCAGGATGCCTACTAGAAGACTGGTTCAAGCAATTTATTCTCGAAAGTACCCCTCTATGCAGCAGTTCGACCTTTCCATTCAGCTGTGCCATCTTCCTGTGTTCTGCCTTCCTGCAAAGGACTGTGCTCCTTTGAAGCCCAAGAAGAGGTCAAAGAGTGGCAAAGGATCTGTTGGGAGCCACCCAAGGGAGATTGCTCCAAGTCTCAACACTAGCTCATTCTGTAGCCTTCGTTCAGCTTTTCTAAGGGGCATAAACTCCCTCTCATTCAATGAGAGAAGGCTGGCAGCGAAGTGAGGACAGAGTCCTTATAGTCAACAAGGCTTCCCATGCCCTTGTGTAGCGTGATGTTGTCCATGCTCTGACATGGTATGTTATTATTCTTAAGTTCTCAATATCTGAAATGGCAGAACTATTAAAAATATAGAAAAGGTTTGTTTTAAAATAACTGTGTACTAAATACATGCTTCTTACATTTCAGATGCTGTCTAAAATTCCTGAAAATTTCAGTCCTTTTTATCTTTGTGGTAGTCTGCTCTGTAAGTATTGAATTAGCTACCTTTTCCTCTTTCTCCTACTACATTTCTTACAATTAGTTGAAAAATGATATTTGGTTTTAGGTGATAAAATAATATCTCATGGATGGGAACAAGATGGCAAAAACTAGAAATAGTGTTCTGGTCCTTATGCCTAATTAGACAACTGCTCAGTGCACTGCCCTCTACCTGGACAATATGGCAGAGAATTTAGTTTTAGGAGAGAGTTGGAATTTTTATGTCATCAATCCTGCATTTGGGATGGCTCTTCAGATACTAATTAAAGCCTGGGAAGTATTGGTATGTTTTCCCCCTTGGCAAAGTGTGTATCTCCTCATGTACAGCCTTTTGAGCAGCAGTTCTCTTGTGCAAGATACTAAAATGTAAACATTTTTTGAGGCACTCTGCTTCCTGTGTGGCTGCTGAAAATGGGCAGTTGGGAGCAGCTCCCACTAGTGAGTATTTGCAGTAACTGAGAATAGGCAGGTCTTCCCCAAAACTGAGGACTGAAAGGAAACTCTAGAAAAAAGACAAGGGAAGAGCTGTGATTTCTAGGAAGATGATAGACCCAGAGTGTCTTTGAAAAATCTTTCTTTCTGTTTTGTCGCACTCTTCATTCTCTTTTACTACTCTATGGTACTTTTTTCTTCCTTTGTTGACCTTGTCTTTCTCTGAAAATTATTCTGTCCTTCTCTTCTTGTGCTGAAGACTCCAGGCAAGCTTTTTGTTTTCCTGTCCTGTCATTCTCAGTTCTCTTTCCTTCTGCCCTTCTCACCAGAGCTGCTCCTGCTCTTCATTGTACCTCTCTAACCATGTAAGTTCATCATCATTTTTCTTAAATTCACCTAACCATGGTGTCTGTAGAAACACTGGGATAAAATATATTGAAAATGTGACCTGTCGTAAGTTCACTGAGGGAAAATTACTTGTCCTTGACATGTGTACCTGGGCTTATTTTCAGCTTTGGGGGAAACTTACCTGAAATACTGAAAGCAATCTTAAGATGTAATGTATTGTTTGAAAGTCTTTAAGTTTCTGATATAAGCTTAAGATATTTTTTTTCCCTAGATTTTGTTTGGCATTTACCCAGATCAACGTGTGTCCTGGCAGATGTTGGCTGTCTCGCCTCTGGAAAGCTTCTGTATCCTTCCTACACCGAAGAAAACTTAAGCTTTGTTAATGAAATGGTTGAACTACTGTTTTCTCTCTTATACTCAGAGTGGATTTAGTCTCCTCAGGGCATGTGCTGCCCTTAGATTTGTTCTTTGATGCAAACTGCAGTTGTGCATCACATCCAAGCTGGCCGTGATGAATAGTGCCTCTCTGTGGTGCTTTGTGGTTCCCATCCAGTTCTTACGTTGAGATTCTGCATGAAACCTGAAGTTTGAAATCCTGGTGGGATCAGCTTCTAGAAAATAGCCATGACTGTGACCAGTACAGTCCAATGGCTGCAGCCATTACTCCCCCGGCCAGGGGCTATCATCTGTAGCATGTTTTGAGGATCATGATGCATGATTCATTGCAGGTGAATGCAAACCTGTGTTTGAAAGGCCTTTGAGGGATGAGCATGATGAACATTCAGTTAGTAAGCAATCAAAAACTTTTGCTAATAAACTACCTTTCTTGTTTCCAATATATTTCTAATTTTATCAGTTTGATCTGCAATTTCTTTTACTAATATTGGAAGATGATTCACTATGGATATATTTTATGAGCATCTAGGGAGCATCATCTTTTGAAAAGGTGCAGTAAGAGTTAATTCTTGAAAGATTCATTTTTTCTATTTAATTAGACAGGTCCATAGCTTTAAGGAGGCAGAGTCCATTCTAAACAGATTTGTTAGCATTCTCACTATTGCAAATAATGGCACAATGTTACACAGCTATTAGTAGGGTAGATGAGGAAGAAAAGGTTAGTGCTTGGGGGCAATTTATAGTGAGAAGCAGGGACTGCTTTTTGGAAGAGAGCAAGAGAGCATTAGCAGGACAAATGAAACCTCAACAGTTAGCTCCCATCGCACCAGGGCTGTAATAACTCAGTTTGCTGAATCAGGGTGTTTTGCCATCAGATCTTTGAGATCAAGTTGTAGTCAACTATCATAGCATAACTTGAGGACTGGATCTCTTTCCACAGATTTTGCACTGGAACCACAGTTACTGCTCTGTGAGCATTGATTCTGCAACTGGTTATTCTTTTTTCTTGTTTCAGGGAGTGCTGTTCGAACTGGGATAATGATTACAATCAAGTATTTCTTTATTTCATGTTTTACATGTAATGTCAAGATGCTTTAGCCAAATATCTGTCAGACAGAATATAGCATTCTCTTTCTTTATCTGACAAACCTGGAGGTGAAGCTTCTTTGTGTCATATGTTGAACACTAGACATTCTGTCCTTTCATTCCTACTCACTGAGCTGGGAGTAAGCAATCCAGAAAAGTCTTGTTTCGTTTTCAAGGTGACAGAATAATTCAAGCAGAAAGGTCATTGAGAGAAATTTGTTTCTAAGTGAGATTTGGAAAAGGTGTGAACAATTCTGAATGTCATCTCACCATTGCTACTAGTCTTTGGTCATGCAGACACAAGCTCATGTGTTTGTGTCGCTTTGTTACATGGTGAAAAACCTTTTGGTTAGGCTTGGATAACACTAACCATTTAGAAAGCAGTGTCGAAGATGTGATTTATGCTGGCTGAAGATTGCAATATTCTCAGTGGACGTTAAGGGGTAGTCTGAATGTCTACAAGAATTTCATGGTAGGCAGACAGGTGTGCTGTGATAGCTCTTGTCACCAAGCCCATAGAGGTTGTGTATGAGATTATGGGTGGAAGTGTCTTAGCTCATGTGATACTAAATTATGCTAATGATATGTTCTTTCTTCCTTGCTCATGTGTCAAAAGCAGTTGAAATGTGCTTAATAGGTACTAAGTATCATTTACTTGTTTTATTTTTTTTTTTTTAAATCCTTCATCTCATTTCTATGCTTTTCCAGAAAAGCTCATGTATTTTGAATTGTGTATTGAGTATATACACTCTTATGAATACATATGCATACACTAGAAAAATCTGAAAAATAATAAACTAAAGGTGGAAATTTAAATAATTAAAAAATCAAATGGAGTCACTAGACTTCATCATTCTGGTGTTGCTTAGATATTTGTGTTTTTTTTTTCTCTCATGCACACAAGGTGTCAGACTTGTTTGGAGCTGTGACTTTCTGTCTCTGGCTGCTGCTTCTAATATAGTGTGTCTTTAGCACTTTTCCATTTTCTCTAGCTCCTGTTTGATGTTTCCATACCTTTGTTTATTGCTTGCATTTACTTTGGTTGATTTTTCCCCACTAACTTCTGTGTACATTTTAGTATCTCACGTATATCTCCCTTTGCTTTATCTATCCCCATGGATTCTAAGCAGACTGTAGTGCTGAACTGTGCTGGCTGTAGTTTCTGAAAATTGAAGCTTTCCTCCTGTGATTAGTAGAAGCTTTCTGTGTATGTAAGATGTTTTTTAACTCTAATTTGCCTATTGGTGCAAGATCCAAATTAAGTGGATTTAGTATGATTTTTTCAAAGTAGTGGTAATATTGTTCCTTTTTTGGCAAGACTTAGGATTTATTTGCTTTTAAATTCTAACAATCAACTCTTTAATAAGTTTATGATAAGGCGAACTTAAAGGATGCTTTTCTGTAGGGAGCAATATTCACTGCCCTTGTTAGTGTAAATCTGTGAAGCATTTTCAAACCTTTTGCTGAAAGGCCTTATGTTAAATGGGAAGCATCAATAATTAAAGGGATGATACGCCTTTGGAAAGTGGGTTATAAAAATAGAAGAAGAGATATGGAGTCTGAAATATTACAGCATTTCCTATGTTCTGCCACGTACCTATCCTAAGACATGAACGTATTTATTTTCTGTAAGTCCTAAGCCATTCAAACTTTCAAGTAACTACAGTCAGTTAGCTGGTGAATTACAGAAAAAATAATAAATATTCATTGTGCTTATTCATTAAACACAGAAGTTTTCAGTCTTGAAGAAAGTTCTGAAATACTTTATGGATCCTGTTTGTTCCTTCGTTTCAAAAAATTTCTGCCGTGACCTAAGCAAAATTTTAATTGTTTCTTAAGCTACAGGGAACAGACAGCTGGAACAGAAATCTGCAGTAACCTTTGGAATCGAACTAGGCTTTATGAAATTCAGAAATAATGGGGATTTGTGGGCGCTATTGAGGAATTACACAATCAAACTTTACATTCATTCACTATCATTTAAAGAAGCGTCTGTCTCCGTAGTAGAGTACCTTCTTTTCTTTCCCTGCCCCTGATACATTTGTTGCTATTTCTATATTTCAATGGTAGAAATACAGTTTTTTTAAAATAAAAGGTAAATCTTCTAGTGCAGTCCTGGGTCAATGGGTCTCACATCATCTCTGTCCCTGACAGGTTTTTCAGCAAGTCTTGTTTGCTTCCCTCTCAAGAGCCACAGTACTTATGCCAGTTACTGCTGTACATGAGGGAAAGTTAGGGCAGTCTAGATGCAGCAATTTTGTTTTCCTTTTTCAGATTGCTTGTCAGAATGTACTTCCTGTGGTCCTGAAACCTAATAATAACTATGGAGTGGAATTTGATTTTTTTTTGTGTCTGGTCAAGAATTCTACAATTTTTAAATATATTTTAAATCCTTTCAGTCCTGATCTGATTGCTTCCTTTATATGTTTGATATCTCCTCATTTTAATTCTTCGGAGTGAGGACTGACATTTTGCAAGTTATTTATATTTGCACAGCACCTGCTGTAAAGAGTTCCTTAATAGCTTGCTCTCTGAGTACTATCACCACAAAACAGAACTTAGGGAAAATCCATCATCTAATGTCACTACTGAACCCTAAAAAAACAGAGCCAAATTGACTAACTAGTGTCCATTTTCACTGGTTTATCTCTCTCCTTGGTAGCTCTGGGAGATTTCATCATGCCCTAGCCAAGCTTAAAATATCAGAATCAGAAAACAGAAAATATATCTTAGCAGTAATAAAATATTGAAATTTACATAATAGGCTAGATTTCTTATTTTGGTTGGATTCAGTGAAACTACTTGGAAAAAAAAAAGTATGAAAGTTGATAGGGGAGACATTAGACAGAGAAAACAAGATATGCTGACCTTATTATCAAATTCCTTGCTGAGGTAGAATGAGTTTGAATGATGGGTGCAAATGTGTTAATCATAGAGCAAGAAAAGGTCACTAGAAAAACTTGTAATCATGCCATGACCATTGGTGACACTGAAAATCACCTTTTCTGCTCCCTGAGACAGAGATATTTATAGAAAGAAAGACTATGAGGAAGAGAATGCACTTGGGGTGTTGAAAGCTTTTCGGCTTCCAAGAACTTAAAAAATGGGTTCTTCTCCCAGGCAGTATAAAGTAACAAACTGAATGAAAAAACAAAACAAACAGACAAAAAAACACAACCAAAACAAAACACCACCACCAACAGAAAAAACAAACAAACTCCTCAGATGTTGCTTTAGCCCTCTACTGTCAGACAATCTTCAGTCATTTTTTGCTTGAAGAAGACATTTAAAAATTATTTGTTGCTGGAAATGAAGTAAGCATTTTGGTCTGCAGGCAGTATTCAAGCTTCTAAGAGGATGGATGAAGGCTAGACCGTATTCATTGGCAGGCAAAAAAGCAGAATATCAAGGCATATTTGAGAAAACTAATGAAACTTCTGAAACTGATAGAGCACAGAGAGAAAGGGTGGAACCAAAGTAGAGAAAAATGGAACCAAACTCTCCAAAAAGGGAAAAGAGGAGGAGGAATTACAGTGAATTCTTCAAATGGGGAAACCAAGAGTTATAGAAGAGCGTGAATTTCCGCTTTGTGTACTCTGAAGAGATGATCAAAAGACAAAATTGCAGAGAGATGTAGAATTTCTAAGAATTCTAAGAACATTCTTAGAATGTTCTTAACCCTGGTTAAGAACAATATATAAAAATAGATTCTAAAGCCCAGGAGGAAAAAAAAAGTCTTTTAAAAATGAGAAAAACATAAGAAACCGGCATGAGCAGCCTGGTCATATATCAGGATCATTAGTATATATGCACGTTGGAAGCTCAGTGAAAGAAAATCATTACATGTAATAATCTCAAGGTACATTTTACAGGAAGCACAGTACATGATGTAACTAGATGTTAAAGAAGGCATAAAGTCAGCGTGCAAATAGAGAGTCTCTGTCAATAATGGCTTTTCAGATGGTTCTGTACATAATGCATAAATGCCTGGATGGAGAGTAAAGCACGGATGAAGTACTTAAGGTGTGACTCATCCCTTCTACCTGAGTTAGTCATTCCAGGCTCTATTTATATAGTTCATAGACAGTTGGTGCTTCTAATATGGTGGTGCAAAATGAGACAATGAATTCCATCTCCCATTTTTCAATGATTTAAAACAAATTAAAGCAAACAACTCAAAAGCAGATGTCCATGTCATGGAAACAGAAACTGGTAGATAAATAACAATATAAATTGTTATATATTAAACAATGTAAGTTTAGCCACTGTATCCTGTTCCATCTTGTGGTTTGTGTAAGCTACAAAAAAGTGAAATGATATGAGGTCACTCTTGTGTGTTCTGAAATACCTTCTAGGAGCAGAAAATGAGAAAACAGCTCATGGTTTAGTGCTGAGAAATGGACCTAGTCTGGTGCCAGATGTAATTACATAGAGCCACTCTGTAGTGGTGCACAAAGCGTATGCAACCCCAAATCCCTTGACAGGATAATTCACAACAGTAATATAATTTCAAGAATGGAACTACATAAAAATGAGGCAGCTTAGCCAAAGTGGAATAAAAATAACAGCTCCAGCTTTAAATCTTGTCAGGGAGATTTCTTGCTTTAAAGGCACATAGTGAAATCTGTGTTTCATAAATGTTCAGAAAAGAGAAAAAAGAAAACATGTATCATGATTAAATTGCAGAGTTAAAGAGAATATTGAAATAAAAAGCCAGTTTCTAAAAGTTGAAGTCATATATGAATGGTCAAAATGGAAAAGAGACCACATTCTTGTAATTTAAGGGAAATATAAAGCCAAGGTAAGGCACGAGAGAAGTGTGCTGAGGAGCAGACCGAGAAAAATGGCTGGTAAAAAACCCACCTTTTGGTTTATCTAGGTGTAGCTGAAGTTTTTTCCTAATTTAGCCTGAGTCTACCTTTCATAAAGGCTGCGATCTGCTGGTGTGTAACAATGGAATTATGACAGTTGCCAAATAGAGTTTGGAGAAAGATAACTGTTGGAACTTCAGCAGACCAGAGAATGATGTTCAGTGCCACCTGCACTCAAAGGAGAAAGTTTTTATGCTAGGAATCTTTCTGATGGTTTTATAAATGTTTTGAAGAGAATGGAAAAATGTTCTTAAGTATGCCCCTATTTAGAGGAAAATAAGGTAAGAACCACTCTTCTTGAAAATAAGGTTTCATTTTTCCCCATTTAATTTTAAACATCCTGTGTAATAGCTTCTGAATGTGACATCTGAGTAATTATAAGATATATTTTAAAAGTATTTCTTAAAAGGAAGCCTCCTTAACTGTATGCACCTGAAGCTTTTTGAGACATAAATTACTGGCTACATTTCTGATAAAAAACAGACAGTCAAAAAGTGTCCCAAATCATTGGGTTAATAATTTTAGGTCAGCAGGCTTATAGAAGGTATAATTAATGTCTCAAGTTAGAGATATACATATAGTTCCAGTGGAGAGTAATATTATGTATTAGGACACCAAAAAACTATGATGCCATGTCACAAGTGGAGTTTGTCTCCTGATTCATTACTTCTGGAGTTAATTTTTATGGTTTTCTGTGAAATTTCTTTAAGCAAATGCTTGTGTTTGTTCATGTATGTTCATTCTTAATGAACAGTGTGTCAATGGTGATGCTGATGGCTTGCCAAGCTAAACAGGGAGACATTTATATTATTTTGCAAAGTACTCACTCCTCACCTGCCACTAGATGATAGAATCACAGAATGGTTTGGTTTGGAACAGAACTTAAATCCCACCCAGCCCCAGTCCCTGCCATGGGCAGGGCTGCTCCCCACCAATTCAGCTGCCCAGGGCCCCATCCAACCTGGCTTTGAGTGCCTCCAGGGATGGGGCACCACAGTTTCTCTGGGCAGCTGTGCCAGTGCCTCACCGCCTCTGAATGAGGAATTTTCTCTTTATACCTAATCTAAATGTCCCTTGTTTTATTTTAAAGACATTCCCCTTGTCCTATCACTAAGCTTTCCTTTTTCCCCAAGCCCACAGGGATGATTCTTTCTCAACCATGCCAAAAGTGGATTCCTAGCAATACTGTGTTTAAACAGCCCTAGGTGTTCTCAGACTAGTTGAGCCAAGCTTCTAATATGTTTGTCTCTCATGGTTGGCTGATTTCTTAATTATATTAGTCTAGGAATGTTGTTTGACCACATCTCATGCTAGATGCTCAAAAGAAAAAGAAAGAAAAGATAGAAAAGGAGCTGAAGGAGAAAGAGACAATTAGCATTCTCAGAGGAGCTTGATTATGTATTTCTAAATGTTAGAAAACTTATGAATTAAATTTTGACCAGAAACCCAAATTCTACTCCACAAATGGAGAATTGATTCTGATTTAATTTTCCACATGGTTACAGCTTGCACAGTGTTTTCCCCAGTATAATTTCAGGTATGTTTAAATGGCCCAGTTAATGATGCAGACTTTCTTCTATACAAACACTTAAAGAGCCTTACTTCACAAGCTCTCTCAGAGATCGATCTCAAGATTTGCAAGGAAAGGACAGAAGGATTTGTTGTGATTCTTTAAGTTCTTTTTCCTTAGGAAACAAGGCCAAAACTGTGCTACTTGGTGAAGAGGTAAACATCTGTTTTCTTCCTTTCATAGTTCCTTATGTATTTTAGCATTTTAGGTGAGTAATATGTTTTCAATATAAATTGACTCATCTTTTTTTTTTTTTTTAATTGGAATATCTTCAACTCACTTTTACTGGAAACTTACACCTTAACAAGTTTATTGACAGCTATGAATTTGACAGACTTTCGTGACTCCGCTCTGTTGAAGTTAGACATAGGAGGCCCATTTGCAGCAGATGTAGCTGATGAACAAACACAAGAATACATTTTAGTACAAGTCAGCCAGACTGAAGAAACTGGATCAAGGAGGAGACGCCAACAGCAGGTGATAGTCTTTGTATTCTCTTTCACTTTTTCTGAGTTGCGTTAAATCTTTTGTTTTCCATCACTGTGTTTGAGTTGGTTGTATTTTTCCCTGTGGTAAAATTGGTGTCAACATCAGCATTAGAAAAATAATTAGAACAGCAAAGTTACATTTTCCTCTGTCATTGTGAGATTTCCTCTAGCTTTCAATACTTATCAAAAATCTGTAAAACATATGTCCCTTTAAAGTTCACACATTAAAAATTGGCAACATTTCAAGAATTGTCTTAGAAAGATGAAACAAGTGCAAAGTGCCTTTTCACACTCACTGGAATATATTTTCACATTTTGTTGGAATTATTTTCTCACACACGCCATCACCTGTATTGTCTTTAATTCTCTTCAGGCTTTGACATTGTTTATAACAATGTCGTGTTACTCCCTTCTTGAGAACTCAGTGGAGGATCTTTTATGATGTGTCATTGTGTATCACTGAACAATGGAGAACAGCTTCATCGTTTAATAAATAGTATTGGCATATAAACAGCAGCCTCTCATTCCACATGAGGTGAATGTCCTGTCTCTACCAGTGACAACTTAGCCTGTAATGTCAACAGTTTTCCCATGTACAGCCAATCTCACAGTCTACATCAAAAGATTAGTTCCACTACCTCAGTGTGTGGAACGAAACTGCAATGTCAGTTACTCTCTCAAAAGTCCCAGGCCTGTGATGTGGAGGTTAACCCATGCTGCTGGCCGTGATCCCCAAGGATCCTCCACACTGCTGCAGAATATCACTTCCAGCTGGCACTCCAGGGATGGTCCTGGAGGATGGTCCAAGAATGAGAGGATGTTTGCCCCAAACTGAGGGCTGCTAATATACCTAACGAAGTGTTATGAATATAGCCTGGTGCATGTGCTCTCCATAATAAGTTCTCCAAACTGTAAAGGAGATAGAATGAAGAGGTATGAATGATAAAATGAAAAGGCAAATGGTATCCTGATCTCCACCAAAAGAGGGGCGGCCAGCAGGGACAGGGAGGTGATTGACCCCCTCTACTCTGCTCTTGTGAGGCTCCATCTGGAGTACTGCGTCCAGGTCTGGAGCTCCCAGTACAAGAAAGACAGAGAGCTGTTGGAGAGGGTCCAGAAGAGAGCCACAAAGATGATCAGGGGACTGGAGCACCTCCCCTATGAGGACAGGCTGAGGGAGCTGGGCTTGTTCAGCCTGGAGAAAAGAAGGCTGTGGGGTGACCTCACTGCAGTCTTTCAATACCTAAAGGGAGCCTACAAACCGGAGGGGAATCAACTCTTTGAGAGGGTTGATAGCTGCAGGATGAGGGAAAATGGTTTTGAGGGAGGGGAGATTCAGGTTGGACATCAGGGGGAAGTTCTGTACAGAGAGAGTGGTGAGGTGCTGGAACAGGCTGCCCATAGAGGTTGTGGATGCCCCGTCCCTGGAGGTGTTCAAGACCAGATTGGATGGGGCCCTGGGCAGCCTGGTCTAGTATTGAATGTGGATGTTGGTGGCCCTGCATGTGGCAGGAGGGTAGGAGATTCATGATCCTTGAAGTCCCTCCCAACCCAGGCCATTCTGTGATTCTGTATAAAACCTCAGAATAGAGACTTACCACTTTAACTGATGTTTATAATATTACTATATCTGACTCTTTTGCAGGTGGTATACAACTGGTCTTTACCCTTAAGTTCAAGAAGAAATCAGCAAATCATCACAACCAGAACCTTTCAGATACCGAACAGGTTGGCTAAGAGGCTGGGATATGAGCCATTGAAGTAGTAGTTTACACAGACTTGATGGTAAAATAATAAGATAGCATTTTAGAAATAGTATGTCACTCCCTGTTTCAAAAGGTCAGAGAAGCGTGAACCCCCTTTACTTTTTAAATGAATTTCCAAAGATGGGTTATTTTCCAAACAAAGATATTTGTAAGGATAGAGTAAAAATATTTGAGAAGTCTCTCACAATTGTAAAAAAGAAAACAAAACAAAAAAGCACATAGATATATTTATAGATATTTGTTATAAAACGAATATTCATTTTCACTCAAGAAGAAAACAGAACTTCTCTTCTTTTTCCCAGAGGCACCATCTTCTTAAACATTCAAGCTCTCCTGCAGCAACCTGGAAGTGTTCCTCTCTCCATGAAACATCAATACCTTCATGCAAATGTAGAGGCACAAGTAACAATTGCATCCATCATCTTAGTAGGCGTCTATGTGCTGATCATACTGGAAGTAAGTCATGTTTTGTGTTGTAATTTTATTTTTGCCCTTCACTGCAAATGGAACATGAGGAAGAGTTTTGTTCTTGGCATTTAACATACTTCTAAAATCTGTATCTGAATCTGTGCTGTATCTTTATCGTTGTTAATGAACTAAATAAGATATGTGTGAGGAAATTGTTCTGAATTATAGCCAATTCTGGCTTATACAAAAGTTATACAAACAATGCAGTGGTTCTTGCATATTCTTCTGTTAGTGTCTCTTTATGTTTTAATACTTTCTAAAGGATTATAATTTGGCTGTGAGAGTAAAAATAATTTTGGTTCATAAGCAGTGTGGAAAATCCTTGGTTAAAAACCAATTATCTTAAAAACATATTAAGAAAAAAAAACTTTGGTTATTCTTTTTTCTAAGGAACCTCAAACAATAATTTGGTGTGCTTTTAAAAGGTTAAACTGAGCACACTTTTTAGTATGAGTGACATTTAGAAATGCTTTTACTGTGCCACTTAAAGAGGAACTAGAATCTGAATTAACATGAGGAAGTCAAAGGATGCAGGAACTTTAAACATTTAACTTCATTTGAAAGTCTTGAGTTACCAAATTCAAAGAAAATGCTTAAAATCAGCACCAAGGATGAAAAATATGTCAGAAATAACTCAAGCTCCGACAGATATCTTTGAACTGAAAACACCTACTTTCTGAGTATCTTGAAATAAAGTACAGGTGCAGGAGCCCACATTTTATTCCCCCCCTTTTATTAGTTCATGTGAGTGATAACAATCTCGATGAATTCTCAAGTTGAATCACACCAGATTTCTACTTGTATGAAACATGTATCATGTCTATAAGGCATTTAGTAATGTCTAGCATGCTTACCATGTCTTTTCTGTAACTTAAATTTTTCATCCTGTTACCTGCTAAAATGATAAGAAAGATAGGTGAACAGCTTCTTATCAAATATTAATGGCACATACAATATGACAGATACTTTAGACATTTAGATTTGGTCATTCGGGAATAGTGATTTATTTCTATGCATTTCATACATGAAAAAGGAGATTTAATATTTAGAGAGGGACTTGAACTAGATATTGGTATAAATATATGAAAGCATGCAATGCAACATCAAAACAATTGTAATGCTTTTTAATGCAGCTTTTAGTTTTGAAAAAGCTATGTAATCCTATAGCAATTGCAAAATATTGTTTTTTAAATATATGTAGTATCTGAAGTTACATGTTTTCATTGTAGAAAACCACTTTGGAACAATTCATGGGTCAAAGGAAATGAAGGGTTGAAACTGAAGAGCAAAGCCAAGGAAAACATTAATTTTCCTGTTGTTTATAAGAAAAAGCTCTAAAACCACTAGTTTTTTTTATTGTTTCCGTGAAATGATCAAGGAAAAATTTCTGCTGTTGGCAGAAAAATTATTTCATCGCTTTCAAAGACAGAAATAGATCTTTACCTGTAAATTTTGAATTAAAGATGTGGGAATTCACCTATTGAATCATGGTTTTAGCTTTCTCCAGAGTAGCTGTAGAAATGACAAATGCTACAACTAGAGTAAATTTTGAACTATAAATATATAAGCTAGCAATAACTGAGATAGAAATAGAACTTCACTGTTTTTCAGTTCCCCCATGGATCTCTTCCAAGAGATGGATGTTAATATTTTTAGTATATGTAACACTGGCTTACCTCATATTTGCTATTTATAACTTTAGTGCCTGAAGTTGTGCTTTCTCAACACATTGCACTTTATTCCATTAGCTGTTATCACTGTTAGAGAAATCAATTGGTGTTGCTGCAGGAGTGATCTCTCATGGATTTTCATTTTCTGTGCTGTTGCTCTCCTTCTTTTATCTGTCTTTATTGCAGTTTCCTGTGTTTTATTAATTGTCATTGCCAATATAGGTTCAACTTCAGGCATTGTGTACACCCAAGTGCATTTTAGAACTATATTTTCACATATTTTCTTGTACCTGTGAAGAAATAGTTGGGATTTTATCTGTCACAATGCACAAGAGCTATCTGAAGGTTTGCATCTAGCTGCTTTTGCACAGCTCTTTTCCCAATACAGGAAATCACATCACATTCCTGAATTCAACAGTCCACATTCTTCCACATTCCTGAACTCCACAGTCCCCATCGTTTTTGTTAGTCACCAGGGAATGTACAGCAGAAGAGGCTGCAAGAGCTTTTGCCTCCCACAGACACAGATGATGGAAAGAACTCTGATGAAGGAGCATGTTATGATTGAAAGATGAACTTCATTTACTGTAAACTGTCATTTTCTCCAATCTTACACCAGTTCAAAGACATAGGAAAATTCTGCTCTGAAGCAGTTGTTTTCATCTTTATCAGCACCAAATCTGTAGAACATACATCAAGTACCATTCCCTGTTCAGTAGAAAAGTCTCTATGTCTTCTGAAGGCTGATAGAATCATAGAGTGTCTTAGGTTGGAAGAGATCTTATATATAATTTAGTTTCAACCTTCTGCCATGGGCAGGGCTGCTCCCCACCAGCTCAGCTGCCCAGGGCCCCATCCAACCTGGTCTTGAGCACCTTCAGGGATGGGGCACCACAGCTTCTCTGGGCAGCTGTGCCAGCACCTCACTGCCCTCTGAGTAAAGAATTTCTTCCTAACATCTAACCTAAATCTACTCTCTTTTAGTTTAAAGCCATTAATTTCCCCCTTGTCCTATCACTATCAGACCTTAAGAAGTTGGTCCTCCCCTTGTGGTAAGGGCCAAATGAGGTCTCTCCAGAGCTTTCTCCAGGCTGAACAAGCCCAACTCCCTCAACCTTTCTTCATAGGAAAAGTGCTCCAGGCTTCTGATTATCTCTGGGGCCTCTTCTAGACCCACCCCAACAGTTCCACATTCCTTTGGTACTAAGTCTTGTTATGCTGTGGAGCCTGGTTTCTTCATGCATTTATTTTTAGTGTTGCTTCTTTTAAAACTGTTTATATGTTATTTAATCATAAAAATTTGAAACACATTTCTGGCTAAGAAGATACTAATTTTGCCTCTCCAGTTTCTAACGGTTTCTTTTATATACTTGCCAGAAATGTGAATATTTTTGTACTTCACTATCCCACTCCTTGATATTGCCTTTAACTCCGGATATCTCTTACTTACATTTTCTTAGTAAGACCTGTGTGTTCTCTTTTTTTTATATTTTTCTTTTATTTTCCATATAATCATTCTTTCCTTCAGAAAGTGGACATTCATCCACTTGAAATTGGTTTTTCTTCATATATTGAACAGTCACATCATTGCATTTCAGTCTTCGCTGCCCTCCCCTTCTCCCAGAGGAGAAAGAAGAAAAATATGTATTTCTCATGGTATTTCTGAAATAATCTAATCCATACCATTTTGTAGACTTTATAGAAAACAATGCAGTATTTCATTTTATTCTTGGAAGCCAACACTGCACAGGAAATTAAAGCAAAGGTACATTAAATTAAAATAAAACAGCAACAACAAAACAGAATAAAAAGATAAAAAGGTGGTTCGTGTTTACCTGCTTTGATCTTGGCTCTGACCCTTCAGGGTTCCTGAGGAAGAAATGGATTGTAAGCATGCTTTCACCCAGGTCTATGGGGAAAGCTGGTGTAAAGTGCTGATGTCCAGAGTTTGATGTTGATGTTGCTGTACTAAATTAGTTCACAATGTATTTCAAGAAAGACTCTTTCTAGTTTTGATCCTCAAAACATGTAGACCTCTTTGATAGAGAATTTTTCAGAAAAAAAAATTCTAACTAAAAATCTTAGAAAATTTACTTTTTGCCTTCTTATCTGAAAAAAAATGTTTGAAGCAAAAAAGCATATGCTCTCTATTACCTTCTTTGATCAAAATTAATTGTCCACCACAGCCCTTTTACATTTATATAAATTATTTCTTACACTCTATTTGCTCAGATTTGATAAGCAGTCATGTAGAATCTTTTTTTCCATTGATACAGCATAACCAAGTAAAAGTGAGATGGTTAAAAATCTCATTTTTTCCTATGCAATACAGTGAAATACCTTTGACTTCTCCCTTTTTATGCGTGGTAGAGTATACAGGTAGTGGGATAATATACTGATTACCTTTTAAAAAAATCTATCTGCCTATTCTTATATTAAAATATTTGTTAATGTTATAATGTTATATTAGTATTTAGACAAAAAATCTTGAGTTGATAAAGCTCTTATTTGTTATTAGTAATTGCATATTTGTAGTTATGTTGGAACTGCATTAATTAGGAATATGTGCGGAGGAATCCGTTTATTATTACAGCATAGAGATCACTAATTTGGATAAATTATTAATTGCGTACTCTTGTTCAATATTTTCCATTAATAGTATAGTTCATGTTGAGGGCTAAAATGGAGTGTTAGCTGTTTGTGATATTTAATTAAACCAGAAAGTATGAAGGAAATGATCTTTAAAAAATGTTTTAGTGACTTTATTAAATAATGAAAAAGTTACCACTATCATGGTATATGGAATGAAAGTGATACTTTCAGGAATTTGAAATTCTCCACTTGAGAGCCTCCACTGAAATTGTTTTATCACAAGAATTGTCATTCATATTCCCTTATGTAGCTAACTCTAAGGAAGATCTTGCTGGTATCTTCTGAACAGCATTTTAGTGACCTGACATCTTGAATGATTTTTACAGGTCTATATTACCTTTTAAAATGCAAATATGTGAAAGTGCAAAATCTGCCCTTAAAAGGTCTAGCTTCTAATTTTTTGAAGAGTGGACTTATAATCACAATTTTATTAATTTGTGGAAATGGACAATATCAGTTTCTTTCCATATTTCCTTTCTATTATTAACTGATTTAAATTATGAATAAGCATCCCTTAAGCTCAATTACTGTAATACAAAATAGAGTGATTTTTAATAGCAACTAACCAGCAGAAATTAGCTGCAGACATCAAAATTACTACACAATTTAGTATGCAGTTTAGTGCAACCATTTTTCCAGCATTGTGGGCTGGTTGAACCAGTATCA